GATCCGTTCATCGTGAACAGTGTTTTTGTGAGATTTAGTCCAAGACCAATCTTTCCACAGGCTTTATCAAAGTCGGCAAGCATACGTTCCTCTTAGCTAATGTTTGGTGTTATAAGGACGATTTCATCAGCAAGGCGAAGATGGTGTAACTCTCGACCATCGATTTTCACTCTCACATCACCCCATTCTAATGTTCGCATGATGTTCTGGAGGGTGGCGGTGAATAATTTTGGAGAGATGGTATGCCTTGCCTAAAACCCCCTTTGACGTCAATGTTAATATCGTTGTTGAATGGTGATATCTTGGTTGTGAAATTTTTGTACAGCTTACGAAGAATCTTTATGTACTGAGTAGGGACTCCTTGACTATCAAGGGCTTCCATGACTGCTTCTATCTTATTTGAGTTAAAGACCTTCTGTAAATCGATGAAAGTGAGACAGAGCGGTCTTTTGTACTCTCGCGATACTTCAATGAGCCGTGTTATCGTGTAGATATGGTCCATTGTACTAAATCGTCTTCGAAACCGTGCTTGCTCACATGGCTGTTTTTTGTATAGTGTTCAATCAATCCTGTTTAAGATGACTCGAGTAAAAAGTTTGTAGAGGACAGACAGAGCCGAGCGAGTGTGTTTCCGAGGACTGGTGGAAGGTACTTCAGGTGTTCTGATCTTATCCTGTCCAGACCTGGTGCTGTTCGATTTTTCACCGACGAAATGGCATGCCGGATTTTGGAGGGGAGAACTGGTGGGAAAACGTATGCATCCCCCTTTATCTCATATGATGGAAGGTGGAGGTGGCAATCGAAGAGATCTGAGTAGTATTCGTGAATGATTTTCTCCATTACCTTTCTGGACGCTGTAACTGATCCGCCTGAGTGCCGGAGTCCCATCATTTTGGTCATGTAATTGGTGAAGCTTCGGTGGACCTTGCGAATGCTTTTCCCAGCCTCTGAAACTTCAACCATTACTGCTGCTCTTTTTTCTCTAAGATCTTCTTTGATCGCCTGTCTCCATTGTTTTGCAAGTTCGGACGTTAGTTCGCGGTTGCCTGCAGCTCGTGCGATTCCACGCTGGCCTATCAGCTCTAGTGCTTCTGGAAATAGACGTTTCTTGGTGACTTTCGAACTCTCAGCCTTCATAGTGCTAACGTGAAGATATTGAATGAGCCAATCGTATTCTTCATCGATGTTATCGACAACGGCATCTTTCCAACAGCTGTCTAATGAATTGAATAAGTCCCAATTTGTGGTGTTTCTAGGACTTCGGTTTTTGACTTTGGCGGCTTTTAGTCCTTTCGGCGAAAAATAGAATTTGGCACGAAGGAGACCGTGGTTTGATCCCGTGCAGAATTTTGAGACAACAGCGACATAGGTCTGGCAAAACATTCTATTTACTGCTCTATTTGGTTATGATACTCTCCATTGGTAGATTTCCACGTCCAGCGTTGAGGGGTGGGCTTTTGGAATTGCGAGTTACCACGGATGGTCTTGGTCGACATGATAAACTCAGATAGCCGCTCACTCTGTTTGTTCCATTCTAATCCGTTAGTCGCAATGTGACGTTCTCCAGACGTTCTTCTTTGTCCAATCGTGGCGTCGATATCTCCAATGGTGACCTTGAAGAATGTATGGTCTTCTTTGTAGGAATTATCGAAGTCTGTTTAAAACGCTTGACTTCGTCTTCGTCATAGTTTGATGTCGGCACGTAAACGGCGAAGATTGTCAAAGCCGGCATTGATCCACAACTTTTTAATCGTAAACGTCCGATTCGAGTTGTAAGCTCTTCGAATGAATTGATGTTCATGAACAAACTCGTTTTGACGAAAGGGTTAACTCTGCTGGCTCCTCTACTGTCGCATGTTCCGTGGAACATTTCTTTTCCGGTGTCATAGACGGCGTTGAATGGGTGGCGTCGTCTCGTCTCAGCCAGGCCGATGAAATCGTTCCTTATCCTTCTCGCTTGCATGGTCACGTCTTCCATCGAGGACTCGGATGAAAGTGTGCGTGCATTGTAGGTACAGATCGTCCCCTTATTTTTTCGCCATCCAGGTAGCTTCCAGTAGCCCTGAGATCTTAGCTTCCTATTCGTTCTTGCCCTACCGAGCGCTGCGAAATTGGGGGCTCTTTTGGGTCAAAGGAATGAAGCCCGTTTTTTTTTTTACTATGCTTAGCGTTTTGGTACCCACATGTAGCTTACTAAGCTCTGAACGTGCGGGCTGGGTATGCTCACGGGTAGCTTGCCAGGCTCTTCCAGAGTGGACATGGAGTTTATTTGTTTTAGGGCACTCCTAGCCGCCTCCCACATAGTTCCCTCTCACTTGATTGCGGGCTTTTGGCCAAATTGACTCGTGGAATGCAATCCGCGTAAACTTGAACGCACCCACACACGCATGCATGAATACGCTTCGTAATTACAGAAGGTATGTGCCAAACCGGCGCAGCAGAAACGGCGAGCCTATCTCTTGGATCCAGATGCTTCTCAGGAATGGAATGATCGCTTTAGGTCCGCGATTAACCCTCTATCTGCTATCTAGGAACACGCCACGGAGCCTCGCGACTAACCGGCTCGAGTTCGCTCATACGAGGGAAATCTGTGGACGGCACTTATTTATTTAAAATAGCCTACGCGTAGGCGGTTTCACCTTTTTTGTGCCCTGAAAGGTCAAATTGACACACAGTCGTCTCAACTATCCTCCCGGCACTCTGTACATCAACTTAACTAGGTTCAATTCCGATTTGTGCTTCCCAAATCATTCCCGTTAACGGGTGTTTGCTGATTGCAACGTTACGATAAAGAACTGGCCGAGAGAAAGGCGAAGCAAGAGTTTCAACGGTTCAGTGGACAGTGTATGAACTCTCAGAAAAGGTTTAGTGGGTTTGAATCTGGCCTAGGGTCTTAGCTCTGGAGAAATCTCAGCAACGTAGTGATTTTAAGGTTAAGGAATGGGCTTCATGGACGTCGCCATGTTCAATGCAGACTATCAACATGAGCGACGATTGTACGAGAGAGAAACTAATTGAAATTATGCTGGAACCGCACAACCGGTGAAGAGAGGACATCCAAATATCCAAACAAGTATTACTTCGCTACCTGCAAACTTACCCAATACCGACTGCTGCATAATGGATTATCCCTTAAAAGACAAACTTTTATCAGGCAACAGTCATTTTCAACAACAACAACTCTGTATAAGAGAACGCTTCTTGGTGACATCGCCTCATTGAAGCGGTGCTCCTCAGTGGAGAAGATTCGACTTAATACGAAACCGAACACACCGCTTCGAGAAGACAAACAACTGTGGACCATAGTTCTTTATACTCTTGTTGAGCAAACGTGAGGTGTTGCTTTATTTTTTATCCATTTATTCACAAGATCTAACGTTTCGGCAGATTTCGCTTTCCTCAAAGCTCCGAAAGGTCAAGTTGACTGCAACCCACCCTGCCAAACGCCTCCATAACCAAACACAGAAAGTGCTAAACAAAGATTTCAGTGGCATTGAGAATGAAACAACTTTTTAGTACACTCACCACTTTCTACATGTTTTTCATTGAGTATGTCACATAAAGAGTAACCGCACAGAGTTCACATGGATGGGCATTTGCCTTCCTCACATTGAAATATTAGTCTTAAATATTGTGTGAGATCACATGTGATAACGAAACATCCCTTTCTGCAGTTCAATTTGAATTCTCGGAATTAATGCAGAGTGCCTCGAGAGTTTTGCTTCGAGCTATCTTTGTCCTATGCGCGCCTAGTGGAGTATTTGGCTTAACTTCACTTTACTGACTAGATATTCTTCTATACGGACGCAGAGTACTGTTTACCGTTTACTGCCGTTTATCTATCCATTTTACTAATGTATTCGTCCCCGCACGCTTTATATGAGATCAGGCAAACTGTCCCCGAACTCATGCAATCACCATCCCTACCCTTGGAGCAAATTACACAATTTTGCGTTGTACACAGGCCCTAGACTCGGATCATTGGCTCCGAAAAAAACTAAGGGCGAATAAATATTTGGTAACAGCCTCGTGTTAGCTTATCAATGAAATAAGGTACGCATGGATAATAGTACTTGGTCACAGATACAATCGGATCGGATTGTTGACCGATCGCAATAGCAATTGTGGAACATGGCTGAATCTAAAAAAAGCGGCTTATAAAAGAAACGATTTTTGAGGCTGGGAAAGGCGAACTGTTTGAGACTACGTTCTATACAACGGCAGCAAGGATGCTTAGAAATGGCAATCGGCACTTAGCTATAAGCAAAAGCACGAATTTGGAACACTACCTACCCGATATTCAGAGTTTTTAACGAAGATCGTAGTCTTAACTCTTTTATTTACTGCCTTTTTCTTCTTAATGGCAGGTTATGTTGCGAAATATAACTCGTATGAAATGCTGAGATATTTGCAAAACTCCGGACCACAGGTGTATGCAATGGAGAACGAACACGCGCTGTTGTCCTTACCGGGGAGCAGCGCACTTCACCACTACACCATCTGGGTCCTTCGCTTTGCGTGTATCTCAGCTAGTTCTATCGATCTTTTTTGCCATCAGCAATCACCCGTCAACGTAGTAGAAAAATACGAAGTTGCTAACATAGAACCGACTGGTAGCTCACTGTTATTCATTGAGACTTCTGGGTAATTAGTGGGAGACTAAGCAATGCAGCTGATAACGCTGTTATTAGTATTTATTTTGCTAGTGAGTTGTTATTATTAGCAAGTGCATCCATTTTCTTACGAAAGTTACTTCTCAGTTCAACCTATAACCGAGTTCATTGCTAATTACACATTTTTCCATACTCGTTCAAGATCTAGCGTTATACATTTAGGCGAATGCGAAATTCTTCAGACCATCTTTGGAGTGGTAGTAGGCCACAACTCAATAACATCAGCCCCCAGGAAAGCTGATATCATATCAATACCCTTTCGGTGATATTTCGCGCAAATCGCTGACCTCGTGTGGAGCACCATCATTTATAACAGTCGTCACTCACCTGATCGATATCGTGACATTGATATCACTAGTATTTCATCACTAGGAAAAAAACTGCATTGTCCCAACTATTGAGCAATTACGCAACATTATATTTATGCTTATGCTTATGTAGAGCGTGGTAGGAAATTCCGTTATGATGTTCTCCAATCCTTTTTTCTATATGAGATTCAAGAAAATAGAAGAAGAATAGAAGAGAAGAAAAATCTGCATTCGGACAAACACTAGCTAAAACCTATTCATGGTCCATAGCAAATCCATTTGCGTCCAGACGACGTACAGAGATTGCCATAATCCTTCTATAGATATACGACTTGATCTTATTCGCTCACTCCTCAATTTCCGCTTACTCCTCAACTGCAATTTCCATTGAGCAGAATAATGTCAAGGCAACCACTGTGATGCTGATATATTTGCAAAACTTGGACCACTGGCCAGATTCGAACCCGTGATTACTCTTCCCGGGAGTTCATGTATTACCAACTGCACCATTGAAGCCTTTGGTTTACCTTTCTCTCAGTCAATTGTTGATCTTAACGGTACCATCAGCAAGTCCCTGTTAACAGGAATAATCTTGGGAGCACAAGTCAGTATTAAACTCAGTTATGCTGAGGCTGCTGTCGAAACCACAATGTTCATCTTTTTATTTACTGCCTATTACTTTTTTCACAACAAGGTATTATATTAAATATAACCACAATAACGCTGTAATACTTGTAAAACTTGGACGTCGGGTCAGATTTGAATCCGCAATTATCCTTACTGGGGTTCACGTGTCACACACTGCACCACTGAGGCCCTTGCTTTGCCTTTCCTTCAGCCAGCTTTTTTAACTCCAAAAAATGCTAACTCAGACGCACCCTCTTCCATTACCGGAATGTTAAAGTAAATGTCAATTTCCATGTAAGCGCTATGAATTGTTATTCTAACAGCTGCCTCAAATACTCACTGCTCATACTTGTACTAACCTCATCGCGCTTTTATCATAACCTTAGATGTGTTTTCTACTGTGCTAAGCTCCTTGTACCGTTACTGCAGTATTCGATGCAACACGTATGTATCATGTTTTTGCAGCGGCCTATTGCGGAGTTACTTTTTTGCTCCAAAGTGGCTCTTAACTCATCATTTTGTCCCTCTTATTGATTCTGGTATAATAGTATCCTTCATACTGATTACACTACTTTATATAGTTAAATCGTTATTAGTGTGTAGATTTGTTATTGTATAGAAAGGTTTAATTAGTTAGGTTAAAGATTTTGCTCTATGGTAACGCCAAAACGCCGAAAAGTCCGGCGAGGCACATTCGTACAAAGTCGAGCATTCTCTTTCAAGTTGGCGATTATTTGACCCTAACAGCTGGCTCGAAGATCTATATTCCTTTGACAACCACTATGTCGGAATCGGGTCTCTACAATGTGTCGGCGCACTAAAAGAAGCTGGAGACCATTGCAGAAGCAGCATTCATCGTGGAAGGTGTCTATTAAAAGACAAAAAATTTCTTTCCATTCCACAAAAGCTAAAAACTTGTATATAATGCTGAGATATTTGCAAAACTCCAGACCGCAGGTGTATGCGGTGGGGAACGAACGCGCTATTGTCCTTTCCGGGGAGTAGTGCACTTCACCACCATACCATCCGGGTCCTTCGTTTTGCCTGTCTCTCAGTTAAAGGAAAAAGGCAGTAAATAAAAGGGTTAAACTTGCTTTCATAACGACTTCTGCACGCACTATTTTAGCTATCTTGGGTGCCTAGACAAAATTTCGCTGAATAACTACTCAACATGCTAATATGAGGAGATGAACTATGTTGTCGAAATCGCATGCAAGATGGACCACTTTCGTGGATGATGATTGCAAGAAAACGAAACAAATGAAAGATGTCCGGGGCCCGATTGACGGGCAACACGATAGACACATATTTTTGTACTCGCGTGGTCTAAAAATCGGCTTAATAACATCTTTTGAAACTTTTGTTCAAAAAAAGTTCTTGTTCTTTTGCTCAAACTCTACTGAGAAATTTCCTAAGAAAAGCTTTGATTCAAAAAGTAGGCAAGGAAGTTCGAGCGATCGGACACACAAAGTGGAAAATATGGCACTCTTGGTTTATTTGTGGAATAAAAGATATACAACAATACACAAAATCTTGTAATAGTAGTATAATAATAGGACATGAAAACCTCATTAACCTTAATAAACTCGAAAAATTTACTCAAAGTGTTGAAAAGACAAATAAAGGATAAAGCTCTCGGCGCTGATCAATCCCTTAGAGATGTGCCATGGATTCGACTTCATTAAGCATCATTTGGAGGTGATTGAATGCTTATCTGGCCGTTACAATGACTCGTGGTGGCATACCGATGTATTGAACCAGTTCTGCCATCCTTCGAGACAAATTTGGTAGCAATTTACTGACCCCGGAGGGATGGAGGGCTTGGTGGGCCACGGACGTGGGGATCGATTCCACGCGTGTTTTGCAGAACGTCTCCGACCACTAAGCCACACGCGTGCTTACTCAAAGTGTTGCCTATGATAATTTGAATGTAATCAGCTTGCTCTATTGAATGGATTTGTAATCTTATTGTTCTTGTATGTGTTTCTGCAATAGCTTTTTTTTAGGACGCTGAAGCGACACAAATAATTGCAAAGCAAGTTTTCACTTTCTCTTCGCATAATTAGTTGAAATACAAATTGTGTTTTTTTTACAAATTTATCTCGAATGTGTCGTTTTCTTGCTCAGCAATCGCGAGGTTTTTAAACAGCATACATTTACTTCCATAAAAACACAATACAATA